GATACAATGGGAATTATGACATTGTAAACCTAGAAGAGTAAGAATTAATGCAAAAATTGATTAAAAAAACCTCGAATGACAAGTGTCGATTTCGTAAGTGACAAATATTCAGGATTATCACTTAATTAATAAAAAGAGTCAGTTTGGTGTCGACTTTTTTTTATTAAGTTCAAGATTTACCGTAAATAAGGATGGTGATTTAAATTAAACTGTCTTGAAAGTTAAAGAACTGTAAAACTTAATTTCAACGTTATCTGATCTAGGGGGGGCAGTGTCGGGGCCGCAAAATAATGATAACTTATCGTATATCGAAAGCGGTAAACTATTACTCCACTGAGCACATCTATCTCTTTGAGTTAATATTATTTTATATGTAATATATAGTTACAATAAATTATATCGCATGTAATCACAATTATATGTTAAATCTGATAGTGCATCGTATCTTTATGAGTGAATTTCATATTCAAACTTTAAAGATAAAATCTTATTTTTTAATTCTTTCAATAAAAGACTGCACGTATATATTTTATATATCGGTCTCATATTTGTTAATAAGCTCGATACCATCTTAGCGCAGTATTCAGCAATAGCGCCATTTGTGTATCTTAAACGTAATGTCCAATAGCAATAGTAATACGATATTTGAAAAATACCTTCTAAATGTGTTTTCCTTCTCTATTTCCTATCATTTGTAGGTTATATATATAAACTAAAATATATATATATACACAAAATACTCACATCCGTTCACTCAGAGATATGAGTAATATGTTAGAACAGATGTGTTGTGTGAACATAATAATATGTGGGTGCGCGAAAATATATCCTATATTTTATCTTCGCTCAACTTTATAAAAACGGGTTCAATATTTTATTTAACTGCTCATCTAACAATATACTACTGAAATTCATTTTAAGTAACATGCGATTGTATTCTTGGATATTTAGATTGATTCTAAATATTTCGAACGGAAAAGTATGAATACAATTTGTATACCAAAGTTTCTCATCCCCCCCTCGATTTTATATCACCATATTTTTGCAGGGTATGATTTTTTTAATTGAATTAGGGAGTTTTAAGCATGACCGTCGCATCTTTGCCTATAATGTGTATGAAAGGTGTTATGATGATCGTTTTTTATAAACTGTAGTATATTTTAGCGTCCCTCTGACAATGGCCCCCCACTTGCCCCTCCCTCCTAGATCCGAGGCTGGTGTTCTTGGTAGGAGCGAGCGGACGTTTATCATCGCTTGAGGCCTCGCATGAACTGTAGCACCTTCTAAATGAGGGGGGGAGGGGGTTGTAAGGTTTGTCAATCTAAACATTTCGATGTGTCAGTATAGTCGACACAGAGGCTGTTTAAGAGTGATTAACGAAAAATTATCAATCCTTATATCCCAAAGTTTGTCACCTACCGAATCCGAGTTGGACGTCCATGGTTATCTTGGTAGAAGCGAGCAGACGTTTATCATCGCTTGCGGCCCCGCATGAACTGCAGCGCCTTCTGCATGAGGGGGGCCTTCTTGGGTTTGTTGTTGTGGGCGAAGGGGGCGGGGGCAGCGGGAGATGGGCGAGCGTTCCCTCGAAGAACGTTCGGTGCCGCAGCTAGTGAAGCCACTCGCGCCGCAGGACTAGCGGCCGCCGCGTGCGCAGTACCGTGTAACGCCTATGTTACATTGTTAACTCTTATGGCTGGTTTACACAGATTAACTTGATAAGTAGCTAACTAAATGGTTAACTTAATTTTATTTACATAATAACTTCAAATTAAGTTGACTGTTTAGCTAACTACTTAACAACTGAATCCGTGTAAACCAGCCATTGTAATTAGGTAGATAAATTATAAGTAGACTTTTTACATAATTTTAAGTGATTAAGAATTTGTGTACAAATAAGTAGTAACTTAAAAAAATATAGATGAGCTTAATTAGTATTAAATATTAACTTGCTATTTATTACTTATTTGTTTACAGATACATAATGACTTAAAATTAAATCGAAAATTACTTACAATTACTTCTTAATTACGTGTGTTATTTAATATTATTTAATGTGGACCACGGTTCGTTCTCGGTCCGGTTTCAATTTTGTCTATCTACCTTTACCCCAGACTTCGTGCAGGTGGTCTTTACACACATCTTTCGCCTGACATTCATTATGACTTCAGCTAATGTGTTGTGTTCAATTAATTTAAACGTGAAAGTCGTATAAGCTTTAAGCTAAGGAATTTACATAATTTCACTTTCGTGTTTTATATCAATTTAGTAATTCTTTCGTCCAGCATTCTTTCTAAAAATCCGACTCCTAACCTATGCAGAATAAATTTTTAAACGGACAATATAAATTCAGTCTGCGCGATTTACACCACAAAATCTGCATAACAATTGAATTTCGACTGTATTTATTCTACTCGAATGGTTTCTCTGACAAAGTCAACTCTCGCTTCGGTGCATTATTGTTATAATCAGTAGATCGTTGTATAGCTGCTCTTTCCGGCTTAAATTTAACTTAAATGTACTCTATTCTCTACCGCTGCCATAGCAACCCAACACTACTATGTAATTCCAAGATATACAATCTTTGTTCCAAGACTACATCATCAAACAAGACCCTTATATTATTTCTGATATCCTCTCTCTCTCAAATATCAATATCTTTTCACATTTATTCCTAACCCTTTCATCATACACTCATCTTTCATCATTATCATTGAACTGCCCTTCGATTCAGTAAAAATCCAGACCCGAATATGAATTAACTCATGTATCCGAATTCACGTAATTTATTGTAGAAATTCTATTGATTCCATTTTTTGTATAAAAATACAAAACAAAATTGCGTGAGTATAAGTGTCTCTGATATTCTATCTCTATGTCAATTCGAAACTCACTTCACTTATGCTTCGAGGCGTTATTAATAATTCAAAGTTGAGCGGATGTCGCTTTTTTAGACCTGAGTGAATTTGAATTCGGGTATGAATTTTTACAGAATCGCAAGGCTGAACAGACAACTTAGACAGCTAACAATTTGATTATTTATTTGCTAATTCACATTCCTAGATGTTTTTCTCTACAAGCAACTGTCGAGAGAAACGATTATAAATCTTGCCAATATCACGCATCGTAATATGTACCAATATTATGTTTGATTACATATTATATATACAAGCTACCGTTTATCTATCTCAACTCAATGGTAGACCAATCAGCGGACAGCAGGATACCACCTGATTTTGTGCATTTAATAGAGTGTTCTTCGGATTACTCTATTAAATGCACAAAAACATCTAACTACGATGTTACGAACTGAAAATTCTTCAACTCTATTTAATACTAGTGGCCGCCAGCGACTTCGTCCGCGTTTTCCATTATTTCTTAGCTCCTAATAGTTGCAGCGTGATGTTATATAGCCTAAAGCCTTCCTAGATAAATGATCTATTCAACACAAAAAGAATTTTTCAATTCGAACCAGTAGTTCCTGAGATTAGCGCGTTCAAACAAACAAACTCTTCAGCTTTGTAATATTAGTATAGATTTACTCATAAGCAATCATGTGAGATTCAAGGCAGTGTTATTAATAAACAAGTTTTAGCGTTGGAGTAAATTTACCCTAAGACTACATTTAGTACTAGTCAAAATTCATATTATTAAACAGAGACTTAGCAAATGTTAACCTAGTATGAGGTTCTTTCTAGGTAACCAAAAAAAGTGTCGTACTAGGTTAACCTTAGCCAAGTCTCTGTTTAAAAATATGTATTTTGACTAATACTAAGTACAGTTTCACCGTAAATTTACTCCAACGTTAAACCTCGTTTATTAATAATACTGTAACTAGAAAGTTTTTAAAACAGTAATCTTCTTATTTCTTATCAGTATCACATACTTCAAAAGGCATTTTCAGACCACCAGGTAAAGTTCCATATATGGGATAATATGTGTTAGACATAGAAGAAAGTGTGGGCTGCGTAGATAGTGCATATATAGACTGGTCTCCAAAGGCACTTGGACTAGGATAGAAAAATATGCGAAATAGGGATGATGCCTGGGTCTATTTAGTACGTCAATTAGACAATAGAAAAATATAAGATACGTATATTTTTGCTTCAATTGACCAAGAACTAGTTTAGATAATAGGGAGAGTAGAAAATGTACAAAAGCGAGACGTCTCAATGTATCGCCGTAACTTAATGATTTCGCAAAAAAAAAGTACGTGATGAATACCTAACTGACAGACAAAAAAAATGTCATCGATCCTATTGACTCTCAACTGGTCGGTAGGCAGCTTAGAAAAGAGTATCTATTTCATAGACTAATTGATTTATTATTATGCGAATGTTCTTTTGTTTCCAACTCAGCAGTTACAGGACATTTTACTCAATACCTGTACTTTGCATATATATGAAGACTATAAATTAATCTATAAAAAATCATAAAATCCCTTCAGATATGGTATACCTTCTCTGTACAGTTAACTACATTAACATTTTGTACTTATCTCACCTGTTTACGTGCTATGTACCTTGGTGGTTTCACAACCAACGTATCAACGTGCGCCATTTTTGTCGGTTTGATGAGCGCTTTAGCCTTTTCTTGAGCTATTTTAACAAGGAATAGCTTAGATTACAGGCATTTTAATTTGGAGAGTGGGTGATATTACAGCTTTGTAAAATGTAGATGTACAAAATCGTGACGTCATGTGACATTATAACTCAATGTATCGTCGCAACTTATTGATTACACAAAAAATACGTATTCAATATTCTTCAATAATCTACATGACGGCCAGGCCAAAAAATTTGGTCATCATCCATATTGACTTCTGACTTCAACTAGTTGGCAGGCAGCTTAGAAAGAAGAACTACCCGTTTCATAGACAATTGATTTAACGCAATTGAAAATTCTACATAAACCTATAATGGGAATGTTTATTTGTCTCCAGCTTAGTGAAGTCAGTTCCAGGACATTTTTAAAGGATTTATTTAAAAAGGATGCAATTCCTTCCGATATAATAGAAAAGGAAAGGAAGAAGATATATATATAAGAGAAAAGGTATAACCTTTTCTCTACGGTTACGCATATTAATATTTAATACTTATCTCACCTGTTTACGTGCAATGTTCCTTGGTGGTTTCACAACCGTATCAACGTACGCCATTTTTGTTTGTTTGATGGGCGCTTTAGCCTTTTCTTGAGCTATTTTTATGTTGGCAGTCAAAGACTTTAACCTGTGCTCTTGTTCTTCTTGGCATCTCTGAAAATATTTGCAATAGATTGAGAAATTCCTTATTTTTAATATAAAAATTAAATTCTTAAGAGATTATGTAACATACAATATGATGAGCTGACTAAAGTTCATTTTAACATATATTTTACTACACTTACTTATTAGGTTCATTTACAACCTAAAATAAGGAGCACAAAATGCTTACTATTCCTATTTCAAAAACAGGACTGTAATATTAAATGAAATTTTATTATTTCCAGGTTTCGAAATTACTTTTTCAATGCAGTTGCTCATAAAGCGCTATTTTTTTATCTATTGTAAACACCGAAAGTGAGTCTTTAAACACGTGTTAAATAAAAATGTACTGAAATCCTTTACTGCACACGTGCTTAAAAGTATTTTTTTAGCCGAGCACCAAAGAAATTAAAAAAAAAATTGATGAAAATATGTCAAACTTTAGAGGCAAAAGTATTTCAAGGAGCCTAGAACGAATATTTTCAAATAAAAATGTATGACACGAAAACATGTTCAAATATCACGTTTAATTTTAACAAATAATTTTTACCTTTAATACATACTTAGTTTTAATAACCTATATATTTGTTTTATTTCCTCGCAAAAAGCACTGAAAAATGTTGTAAGAAACTTGAGCGTAAAAGGTTTTTCGAATTCGTGCCAATAAAAACCTCGGTACGCTCGTGTTTTCAATTTGGCCCTTATTCGTAAAACCTTACTTTCCGCACTCGTATCTTAAATAACTATTTAATAAGAGTATGATTGTCCTTTATGATAAAACGTAATGCACTTAATGCGAACGGAACAGTTTGTTGACATTTACTCTTTGGTTTATTAAACGATTGTGCAGCTGTGACTGATGCAGACTTGGTGCATTGAGACTAAATGATTTTGCATTTTTGTCCATATAAGTCTAACATTAATAATATATTTTAAATCATATAATATGAATAAAGATTTTGAATTACCCTGTACAATAAATTGTTATTTTATAGCAAATAATAGGATAAGAACTTAAAATTATATACAACTGATTAAAGGCACTAGAGGAGGTGAAAGCTTCTTTACTTTTATAAAAAAAAATGTACACTTATGCATGAAGAGTTAAATAAGATAAATAAATGAATATCTATTAGTGTAAACGTGAACTTCAAATTTATTTTTATTTAAATTTACTCCAAATCATCTGGTGAAAAAGAGTAGTGTAGTTCCATATTACAATGACATTTTATATAGGTGTGAAAACCCTTTCAACTTGTATGATATTGCTTGATATAGTTGTGGGAATCAGGAACCAGTATTAGACTTGAAACCAACAAAGGATTCTGAAATCTAGTCAAAGTAAGAAGTAGATAGTATAAGTTCAACTTACCATATACATTTCCCTCCAAGTTTCCATCTCTTGCCTTTGCTTGCTCCTGAAGTGTTTCTGGCAGAAGTTTTGCCATAAATGATCAGTATCATCCATCAGATATGGATTGTAATGTTCCAGCATAAACAGCTGTTGGGGGGTAGCTTTATCCACCACGGGCTTAAGAATATCATATGGCACGCCGCCCGTATATTCGAGAGCTGCAAATTGAAAGAGAAATTTTGTTCTGTTCATTAAATTATACGCAGGTTAGCAAGGTAGCGCAATGGTATTTGTATTTGATCTGCGATTACGGAGATTGAGTAAAAGATGTTTTTAATCCACGCTGCATTTACAATCGTAAGTACCCATCAACCTACCTGTCTGCCTATGACTATATTAAAAAACAAAGCTTATTGGGGCTTAGTAAATTATCCCCACTAAGCCCCAATAAGGTTACTAGAATGACGATTATACAGGCGTGGCAAATATCATGATACGACAAGTCATGGCATGCGAGGTAATGTTGCAGATGGAGGAAGCGGAAATGGCACGCGAGAAAGACGTAAAGGTGACTTCTATCCGCCGAAGGTGGGTGTGGAGAAAAAGGCATAGATATATCCGCTATTTCGTACCAGCAGGAGAGTAAGTCACACTCCATGTGCCTTGAAAACAAAGGCAGGCAGTCCTTTATCAACACAGAGAGGAGGTAAGGGAGGACTAGAGAACGTATCAGCGCATTCCTCCTTTCTGTGGAAGCCAGCATGGGTGGTTGACAACCACCTGTGCCTGACACGGCTTCACCCAACTGGGAAGAGATTCTCTATGCTCTGAGTTCCTCCCGCCAGCGAGCAAGGGACCGCAAAGGGGAGTGGGAGTGATTCCCTGGTATCATTCTCACATGAGGGCTTGCCCAGGGTTTTAACTGGATAGGCCCCCGCTCTTGACTTGCTCAATGGTCACCCACGGGGTAGATTCGTTAGTGCGGGAGAGTCCCACATACATGTCATGCTGTCAAGGGGCGGGGATAGTGCGTAACGCATTTTCCGTGGGTCAAACAAAAGAATTACTTTTTAGCTTTAAAACTTTTACTCACCATCAATGTGCTCCTGGAGTACTTGTACACACATTTCATATAGAGTTGAGATCTTTCCTATAACTTTATTACCAGAATATACCTTAGTTCTGAAATAATAAAAGCGTTTCACACATCAACAGTGTTCTTGTTTATGTTATTTCAGTAATTATGAAATCTACAGGAGGCAGTTAGACAATAACTAAATCAGTGATTTTTTTTATTTATTACTTTGATAAACTAAATTATTCAAATATCAACAATATTTAAAAAGTTAATCGTAAGTGACTATTAATTACGATTTAAAACAAAAATATAAATTTTTAGACTTAGGAAGGAAAAGGGAGCCTTATCGTATAATTTGCTTGTTCGTCTGTCTTTTTTAGACTTACGACTACATAACTGTTTTACAATATATCTGACCTCTGATTTTTAGAAGATATGACAGCGCTCATAGCTTCTTCGTCTGTGAAGTGCGGTAAAAACTTGGGTGGAGGACGCGGCTTGTAATTGGGTGAGATCTCTGGTAACGCGGATATTTCTAGAGCAGGCAACGGGGTTAATTTCGCATTTGGAGCCAGAAGCACTGCCGGACTAAGCTGTCGAGAATATATACATACATAATTAGCTGATGAATTATGAAGTCGTTTTAGAACTTACAGTCGCTAGGGAATGCAAGAACCTGGCACCACACCGGGGACACATACTAGGCAATCCAACCACACTCCGCGATGGCAAAGTCGAAAAAGTTACTATATGAAGACCCTAACCCTAGCTTCTGGGGGGAATTGGTTGGAGTAAGACAGCCAACTTTTCACGCATAATGGACGAATTAAAGCCTCTTAAGTGCGCCAAATTGGAGCCCCTAATCTAATCTAGGGTCTAAGGGCGGATCCAGATTTGGCGCCAGGGAGGGGCCCATTGCCGTGGTCAAGTCGTGAGAAGTTAATTTTGATAATAATAGATACAAAGTATTAAAATAAATAAATTTTGATAGTACTGAAATAAAATCTTTATTGGGACAGAAAATATATGAAAACATTGTTTAACAATTACTATTCATGACCCCTATGACCAACCCCTTGGATCCACCCTTGCTAGGGTCGCTTCGAATATGACAGAAGTTCTGTCAAGCGTACTAGGGATGTAAATTCCACAACAAACGAGAAGCGACGCATCCGATGCTGATGTTAATAATAAATCAAACCTAATATACAAGTTTTTTCTTTTGTTTGGAGATCCTACAATTCGAAAGTATCAATACCTTGCTTTCAATTTTGAATAACTATTTAAATTTATTCACCCTACTAATGTTTAACCCATTGCTATTTTATTCTTTGAAATAAAAACACTTTTTTAATCAACCCAAATATTTAAACGTTTCTTAAAATATTTTTTTCAATAATCCATTCATTCTAATTGTATATCCATCATCATATGTTATATACTTATATGTTGTTAATCAATGACGAAAAGAACAATGGCCATCTGCCTAACATGCTTGGACTAATGAAATCGAATAAAACGTAACTTGATGAAACATATGTTATTTTGTTTGCCTGTGCAACTAGAACAAAGAAAGACATTAAATAGATTTTTAAAAGCTGGGAGTATCGCGTAATTGTGTAAAATGTTTTTGAGGTTATGTCGTATTATTTGAACTGTATCATTTTGAGTTAGAGGTATTACAGTTGAAATATGTAAAGCACACGTCAGATAATACCTAATCGTGGTCCTAGCAGTGCATACTTTCATATAATACTTAAAACTAGCTCCATATCTGATATATTATTTTTATTCACTGTAAGAAATAAAAACATTTTTTTGTGAACCAATGAACCTCAAAAAAGATTTTTTTTAAGATTGCTCTCAATATCTCTACTTTTCTATCTTACACGTAACGTATATAAAGTAGTAGTGAAAATACTAATTTCAAAAGCGTATAGCAAAACAACATGTTGATTTTTCTTTTTTTTATTACAACTCTAATGAATACCTCATCATATTATTGTGTAAGTGTCATTATTGATTAAAATGTACACGCAATATTGTTTCCTTCCAATGTCTCGACTTAATTCTACCCCTTATAATTAAGACTTTATTTATATTTAAGTCTTATTCTAATAAATCCAGAGAATCCGGTATTTCTCTACAGACCTCAATTCTATACTGCCCATGGAACCTAGTATGCTCCCATAATACAAAAGATAATACAAAATCGCCGCCAAAGTTACAAAACGGTCTGCGTAGAAACACGTCTCCACATACTTGTCTAATAAAGTGAGGTCGCAATCGATTGATTACTGTAATATCGAATTTTATGAATAATCATTAGTTTTTAATTTCATTATAAATAAACTATTGTTCTTTTAATAACATCTAATTATATTAGTAATCTATCTAAGTTTTATAATTTTCAAGGATTTATACGGTTAATAAATAATACTTAAGATTTGTATCAAATCTGATTAGTCAGAAATAAAATCGACCTTGTTCTTTGAAAAGTGATGGACTTCTCTAGGAAAATCATTATTTGTAAATTACAGATGTGTTCAAAAATAACATAATTTAAACTGCGTTCTAAAAAGTAAAGACATATTTGAGTGAGGATTATCTTTCTTTTCCCAGCTTTTAAAAATAAATTGTTGGTAGGTAGTAATTACATTCAACTTATACTACATTTTGGTGATAGTTCCATCTTGGTAACAAGGATCTTTTTTTCGTAGTCCATTTTGACCATTGTTCTTTAATCTGCCTACTCTGATCACTGTTGATGATATAGCCAAACTTGGTATGGCATAACATCAAAATGTTGTAGGCAACATGGACAGTTTTAATTCAATTTTAGCATAATAGCAATCAATTTTAAGATTAAATCATCACATACAAGTGAAAAGTATTGAATAGGGATGATGACTAATTTTTGTTTGTTTGTCCATCAGGTAGAGTGTTAAAAAATATTAAACACGTATTTTTTTATTTTTTTCGTAATCATAAAATTACGGCGTTCCATTGGGTTGAAATTTCGCATGACGTCATGTTAGAGTACGTTTTCTACTCAACTGTGACGTAGCGAGCCCCCACTCCTCAACTTTAATGCCTGTTATCTAAGCTATTTCTTGTTAAATTGAAGTAAAAAAAAAATACGTATCTAATATTTTTCTATTATCTGACTGACGGACTAATTAGAATTGCATTTTTTTTACCCAGTCATCATCCCTATTGTTTTATTACAACAGTTCAAAGTAGACAGTTCTGATATGTTGTTTCCGTTTATGTCCAAAAACTTTATGTTCAACAGTGCGAGTCCAAATAAGCTCATGATGAATATTACGATAAAATATTTAAAACAGTAGATAAGTTTCATACAAATGAGTATACTTACATCTGCACTATTTGACAAATTAGGTGAGACTACAGATTGAATTTTAGCCTTCTTCTTCGGCTTTGCAGGACTAATCATACCTAAGGCTTCAGCAAAACTAGCACCTGAAATGAGGTAGTATTAAAAGAATAAGAGGGTGCCAAGTGAAAAGTTTTATCCATCATCTGATTTAAACTTATTTATAATTACAACTGAGTAGTAAAAACTGTTTGTCCAATAAAAGGAATGTGAGCATAAATTATTGTAAACAATATACATGTACTTAATTGATTGGTTTAATAGTGTATAATTATTATTACCTGACTCACAGTTGATGCCATCATCACTATCGGCACTACTATCAGACTTTTTCTTTGGTATATCCTCTTTCAATTTATCTTTGCTAGATTTACTTGAATGAGATGATGAATTAGACTTATGCTTTGATTTACTTTCACTACTACACCCATCTTTTCTGCCAGACTTGTCTTTGCTCTCACTATGCTTTGATTTACTATCTTTACTATCATTTGTTGAATGTTTCTTTTCACTTTTATGACTATGCTCTGACTTTTCCTTAGAGGAACTACTTCTATCTTTTGATCTTTCCTTACTAGAGGAACTATGTTTTTCCTTAGAACTATGACTTTCTTTAGATTTGTCTTTCTCAACAGAGGTTTCCTTACGAGAAGAGCTCTTATTCTTATCTTTATCAGATTTGTGAGAGTTACTTGAACTTCTACTCTTTTCAGTTTTGTCAGAATGCTTATCACTGTTGTGTTTTTCATTACTAATATCCAACTTGGAAGATTTATGTTTATCAGAACTGCTTCTGTGTTTGGATGAGCTTGTCTCTTCTTTGTGCTTCTCTTTTTCAGATGAATTGTGTTCTGATTTAGAATGCTTTTCAGTACTAACATCTTTATCCTTTGAACTTTTATGTTTATGTGAAGTTTGAGATTTATCTTTTGTTGTTGATTTCTCTGAAGATGTTTTTTCATCATGGTGTCTGTTTTTGTCATGTTTATCAGAATTGTGTGGTTTTTTTGAACTAGAAGATTCTTTTTTGTGGTCACTATGATTCTTATTTGAAGAGTGTTTAGATTTGTGGTGTTCTGATGTTTCTTGTTTAATTTTATGTTTAAGCTTTGTTTCCTGTTCTTCTTCAGAATATTCTGATACATCAGAATCACTGCATGACTGATCAGAATCATCAGTTCCAGATTCAGAAGACTCTTTTTTTATTTTAATGTTAGTTTTTTGATCATTTCTGTAGCTGCTGTTAGAACTTTTACTTTTCTTTGGATCTGGTTCTTCTTCCTATAATACATATTTATTCATATTTAATGAAAAACAGTTGTACTTAATAGAGAAGTTAAAATATTACATAAACATGTCAAAATGATTTGTGATAATAAGCCAATTTGCAGATAATTAATTTTAGATACACAAAGAACTAACTGCAATTTTGTGGTTTGATTTCCTTCAATCTTGGTGGAGTTTCGGTACACTGATAATATCAGACAATACGAATATATATTTGGTCTTTGTTGCCGTTTTAATAAGAATATTTTCTTTTGTATAGTTAACTCACCTCACTACTGTGATATTTCCTTTTACTTCCACTGTGATTACCATTCTTATACTCAGTTCTGGAGATAGACTTCTCTTCATGGTCTTGCTGGTTTCGTGAATTTCTTTTCACATTGTCATCAGAATGTCTTTCATTATCATAGCCATTGTATTTTTTAGCTGAATAAGTGAAACAATAAAATAACAAGTATTTATATATACAGAATAAAAGTAAGCGATGTGTAACCAATATATAAATTATTACCAATTTGTAATGAAAATGGATATGAACCCCAAAAATTCCAGGATTCTATGAAGTAAAGTATTTAAAAAAGAATAGCACATATATCTTATTCAACATCTAACTACTATTTGGGTAAATTTTCATTGTGTTAATTAATTTATTCATTTAAGATGCTAATTGGTTTAATTTAATCAACCTAGCTATAACAACTTGGTTATAATCTATTGTATTATAATTTACTATATTTATTTTCATTCCTTAATGATCTAGTATCATTTATAAAAATTATAAGCTATCAGAAAAGCGAGTCATATTCAACCTATGGGATTAATATTCAAAGAGAAATAGGGTTGCAAAAAGATATTTATTGGAGTGTTCTACACTTCTTTAGTATAACATAGTATGATAAAAATAAACATCAAAATAAGAATTGTATAAATCACTAATAAGTTTAATAATATATTAGTTATATTAAAATAAAAAAGCTATAGATATGCTCATGCACATTTCACTTAATTTAACATAATTTGAACAGTTCTTGGGGTGCATTTTTTATTATGAATGTTACATTATTGTTGACATGAACAACAGAATTTGATTTTTATTAAAATATTATGAGAAAATAACAAAAAACCAACACAGTAATTCAACATAAAATGCATCAATAATATGACACATGAAATGATAGGAATGTGAAAGTATAAAATCTTGAAATATATTTTTTAATAAAACTATGTGTCAATTCTCTCACTGTCAGGGTTTTGATCTCCATCTTGGTCGCTCTCCTCAGCTGCAACCATAAGTTTCCATTTGCATACTAGTGCACGAGCCGCTTGGCCGACATTCCCTGGCTCTTTGCGCAGTGCATTCACAGTTCTCCCAACTCCTGTGTCTTGTAGATGTTGCACAGTCACATCTAGATTGAATAGCTTGTCTATGCTCTTTAATATCTGTAATTAAATAAGGACCATCTTGAAGTTACTACTAATTGTAAACATTTGTCTTTTTTTTCTGTCCTGTTTGTGTGCCTTCTTTAAAACCACTACAGTATGCGTTACGATAATCATTAGAATAATACTTGTCTTATTCATTTCACACCTTCAATGTTAAAAAAATAACAAAAATCTGGTGTGAAAAGCAGTATAACTCCTGATTTATGAATCACTATGTAGGCACTATATTGGAAATATTGTTTGGGTTGAAATTATTTTATAAAGGTACAGTGGAATTGGCAACAAATACAGAGCAACTGTTTGCTTTATGTAAAGCGATTCCTTTATACAAACTTTATATCTTATAGTAAATTTTATATTTAAAGAATCCCATGTAGAAATAAATTATATCCCATCCATCTATATTTGTAATGAATAAGAGTTTTCTAATCAGAGAAATGAGGTAAAACGCCATTCGTCTGAGGTGGTTACGATAATAATTTTCGATTTATGTAGATACTTACTTTTTGTTCATCGTTGGGATATTTTTCAATTGCATGTTGATAGTGTTTCACTAAATCAAGAACAGTCGCCATAATAAAATAAAACACACTAAAACTGTATTTTTCAGCTAAAGAATAAATGCCAGCTGGTAAACGGACACCATTTTTGTCAGATATACACACATGTCAGTGACGTCCAAAATTGCGCAGTTACGTCATAAAGTCATTCAAAAGCTCGTTTGTGGGATTGTGGCTAGAACACGAATCTAGGACTAAGTAAGTATCTATGGAAGGAGTCCCTCGATTTTGTTTGATGGTGTGTGATGTGTGTGTGGAGGGAGAGCCAAATTTCAGAAATCTTTTATCGTCTTCGTGCATCGCTTGGGTGTTTTCAATGTAAGCAATTCAATTTGAACTTAGTCCTTGTCTACCAAGCTCCTATTAGAAAAAGAGTTAGTTTTTCTCCTATTAGTTTTTATTATAAAGTGTTGTTATAAATTTCTTACGTTAACAATGAACAGGTAAAAACATTACAATATTATACTGGTAATAGATAGCAAACTCAATCTTTAAATAGGTCACGATTACAGCGCCATCTATCCGCCAGCTAAAAAAAGTCACGCGTATGTGTGCGTGTATATGTGTGTAGCCAGCTACAGCCAGGTTTATTTGATCAGTGTTTTTTTTGATAAGATAAATAGGTATATTTTTTCTTTTATATAGATTGATTCTAAAAATGTTTAATAGTTATTATTCATTTTGAGAATCAATACATATATAAAAAAAGCAAATGTACCTTTATAACTTATCGAAAAAAAAAAACACTTGGCTAATTAAACCTTAAATATAAAACATAATGTAAGACCGCAGATTATTTTTCGTTTTATTTGCTATGATTAAACAAGTATATCAGGAGTCATATTTATATGGTTTATGTTCAATGCTAACTATTATAAATGTTTAGAGCGAGTAAAATAAATCAATTAGTTTATTTCAATGAAAGACTTGTTATTTTTGTAGCTTTATTAACCATCTTATTTCAGACATTCATCAGTGATCCACACACAGTTTTTCTCTTCCTATCTTTATTTTTTGAAAAATGGTTATGAGCCTTTACCTTCATTTCATCATTTCTATCCCAAAATGAAATTTTGCCATTGATTAAATGATTGATATTTTTGCACCAATTATTAATAAAAAATACTGCACATTTCTCTGTTATGAATTCTTTTAGTTGAATTTGGTGTTCTGTGCATTGTAAAAAATTTAAATCTAAATTAATCTTTATGATTAACTTTATATATGTCAAAATATTTTTTTTTATTGCAATTTTCTTTTTAAACTTCTATTGTTTTCAGCATTGGTAACATAGTCAAATAGGTTTCGGGTAGGATAGCACAACCAGCTTTTGTTTTCAAACTCTTTTAAAATTATATAAGTATGAAATATCTGCTTTTCTTTAGCTTCTATGTTGTTTTTACATAATAAACAGCTTATATAAAATTTTTTCTTTGCTAATTGTGCTATCCAGCCACTACAGTATCCAATTGCTGCGGATTTTTCTACTTATTAAACTTTCTGTATTGATTAAATCAATGCATAAATGAGCATTTTCAATTTCAACTTCACATTCAGTGGGTATATCATCTACGTCTTTAGTCAATAGTTCTTTTAGTGTTTGCAGACAAACGCTATCATCCATTTCGCAATTTGATCCCACTGAATGTGAAGAAGAAATATTGTCAATAAGCAATGTTTTAAAGGCCCCCTCAAAAGATTGTGATGTAGGCATCGTATTGCTGCAGGCATGAGCCCTTATTGCCCCAAAAAATTTCTCCAATGCGTCTTGGTTGAAATTTCATAACAATAATGAATTTATGCCTTTTGAATTCAAATAAATAAAATTCTTTTGAAGTTTTCTACTGTTTTTATCCAGCTGGACAACGATGGAACTATCCCATGATTAATTCCATTATGAAACCTCATGCTCCTTAAAACTGGAAGGCTTTTGTTCCATAATTTATGATGAGGCGATGTTGGTGTCACTGCTGTCCTATACGTTTTCCCCCCTTTTGGTTTGCTAAAGCTGCCATTGACACTGTTGAATAAGTCATCAAAAAACATCAACAGGTCTGCAGTTTCAGTGCATTCTTTTTCAAGAACTCCAAACTCTGCAATGAAAATATAATGTTTGTTTAGGTTTGTAATGGAAAATATAAGTTTTTAGTTTATAGTATGTATGTACTATGTATACCAGAAAAATTTTCTATAATAAATCTGCTCTCAAATATATAATAAAACATATGGACTCTAAAATTTCATAATAATAATAATCATCATCATCATCATCAGCCCTTTTACGTCCCCACTGCAGGGGCTCAGGCTTTCCTTGTGGATGGTTAAGGAGGATGGGCCATGACCCTCCACGCTGACCCAATGCGAATTGGAGTGAATAGACGACTGTAAATGCAGCCGGGACCAACGACTTAACGTGCCTTCCGAAGCATGGAGTAGCTCGAGGTAATAATTTTTTGGTCACCCATCCCATGACCGACCCTTGCGAAAGTTGCTTAACGATAACGATCGCGGGCCGCGGCGCTTATCTACTACGCCACCAAGCTATTCTCATAATAATATTAAAAAATATCACCTGTCATTACTCCAATAGCAGCTCCAACAGTTTTACTTAACACTTAAGTGCAGTGTTTCACTCTCATTTTTAGTAATAATGATGGCACTACATGATGAGCTGTCAACTTAGGTGCCATCTTCACTCCTTTGTAGCCTGGGCATCTTTCATATAATTGTAGAATGTGATTCCACTTAGCAGTACATTCCTTTCCATTCATGTTATATTTTAAATTTTTTGTTAACAAATTATACCTGATCCCTTTTATTAAATGAGGTGGGTCATAGAGTGAAAATACTTTTTGTCTCCAACTTCGAAAAATCCTTCTGTATAGTGCTGCCCTCTTCTCAAATACATTTCGTTAGTCTCTTTTAACAACAAGTTTATAGCAGCAATATTTGATGTAGTTTGGTCACATACTGCTGCTACCACCATAAGACCAGTTTCTGCAATTTTAATAATCATATTCTTTATTAAAGCTTTAAGTTCCAAAGCTTTAAGCTTTAAGTTCTTGTACTGCCACTGCAAAAATAATAGGCCAGTCGCTGTTTATATTTTTTAACAATGCCTCTAATTAAGAAAACAAGTACATGGTTACTGTACTATTTGCTTCATTGCTCCATTATCAACAAATCCTGTGATATTTTTTTTTTTATCAAAGCTGATGCTTGGTGCTATTGCCATTTCATCAAATACCAAGGTGCAGTATTTAAATTTATCTGGCATTCTCCTAACTCTGGATTTTAGGTTGTCAAATAAAATTTCATTTATGCCTTTAACTGGACTTTATACAACAAAGTCTGCAATGTTTGTCTACAAGGTAAAATACAAAATTTTCTTAACAGACGATACGCCTTAGGTGCAGGTTTGTATAATGATAGCGCTAAAATCTTTTCATCAATGGTAAATCGATGCCCTTGCTTTTTCTTATTTCCATGTGACATTTGCATTCGGCATAATAATTTTGCAGTAGGTGACATATTTTTGGAAATTATTTGGAAAGCAGAGGTTTTCATTAAAGATTTAGCAAGAGCCAATTTTTGTTTAAAGCTCCTTTTTTGAGCTTCTCATTTTTTCAATTTATTCACAATTATTTTTTATTGTTTATGGTCTTTTAGAGAAACACCTGCAACAAATTTCATGAAATGTAAATTAAAGCCTCAAAAATAAATAGTTTCTTTTTTTGCATTACACACTGTACAAAAATATTCAGAATAACTGAATATTTTTCAGATTTGCAGATTGTTTCCAATTTCATGCAGCAATTTTCAAATTGGATAATCGAGATATATTTTTGCAAAACATACCTTTTAATTTTCTTGGCAACTGTTGTTTGGCAACAGGTGTTTGTGTCTTTCCAAGGTTTGTATGCTGACCTGGAAATAATAACAAATATAGTTATTTCATGGATATCATTTGCTTATCAGTCTCTGGCTCAAAATATTAAAGATTGGCCTATGTTACACAACATAGATTTGCAATTTTGAACAAAGGGACATTCAATTTTTGTATAACTATATGTTGACTCATGAATTTTCCTTTATATAAAAAATAATATTATATTTAAGATGATTATTTAACTATTTTAATTTTCATCAGAAAAACGTTTACCAACCTGATGTGCCGGCATGTAGTTGAGAAGGTACAAAATGTGAGCTACATGGCAAATCCGCACTTGCAACTATGTGAGGTTCTCCAGTTGATTGCACTGAACATGAAGAAAAAAACATTTTATAATATTTTATTTTATAATAAACATTAAAAATTAACATGGAAATTAGGAGCATTATTTGAACAATGGTATAAGAAACTAGCTTTCGCCCACAAGGTCTTATTTTGTACATATAAACCTTCCTCTTGTACCACTCTATATATTGATGAAAACCACATTAAAATACATAATGTTTTTTATAAGAACTCAGCTTATAGAAAACGTATTTGTTTTCTACTATTTCATTTTTACTTTAAACTTTTTATAGTTTGAAAAATTATTCACTGGTCATTGTTAATCACATATGAATGAATTTTAATGCATAGCCTGCTGCTTCCATCTTTAAATAGATAGGTAGACATTCAATATGCAGTATTATTTATAAATAATAAATTACCTGACATATGAAGTGTAGGCATTGCTATGTTGCAGTCTATTATTGGGATATTTATAAATATCTAGAAAATGTTTTCCACAAATATGCATGTTATTATATATTTTGATTGGATCCAGATGAGTTATTTCTCCACCAACATTGTCTAGCCATTTTTTAAATTTCTCTGTTTTAGTTCTAGGTTCAGGAAACCGGTGCAAAGGGATACCTGAGTAACATAATAATATGTATTATTCTCTGCTTTTCACACAACAAATTATTAGTCCTTAATTATTTGTATAATGGATGAACAAATAACAATTCTTAAATTGGAGGCACATAATAAGTTTTTTAATGAATATTGTATTCTACGATAGCTCAAAGAAAAATACCTGAAAACATTTGAATTATGAAACTCCACGTATAGGTATAAAAATCGGTTGAAAACTGACATTATAGTACAATTCATAAAGTATTT